TGCGGGACTCGATCCCAGGGCCCTGGGATCATGACCTGAGCCTAAGGCAGACGCTTAATGACTGAGCCACCCAGGTGCCCGCCCCCCCCAAATTTTAAATATTTTTTATGGAGAAAGGCAAAGTGCTCACGGCTCACGAAAATCACAGACAGGAGACTGCAGGGGTGAAGAGTGGAGAGGTCAGCAGGAGCTGGGGCTCTGGGATATAGTTGCTGGGGCAGAGCCCAGGGCTGGTTCTGTGGGTGGTCCCCCTGCCCTAAGTCTGTCCCACTTCTGCCCACATCCAGAATCCATTGAGGTGGAGTGGAGTGGAGTGACCGGCTTCTAGTGCCTGATCCGGGGGGTGCCAGAACCCTCCATTTCTGGGCGTGTGTGGCCCGCCGCAGCCAAGATGCCCAGCTGAGGCCGAGCTGTACGCAAGGGCCAGGGGTCAGAGTGTGCACTGGGTGGAGAGGAGGGGCTGGGTGCTGGGAGTGGGTGTGGCTGGCGGTGCAGGTAGAGTTTGGAGCAGAGACGTTCTGAGCTGCTCCCATAGGCTGTGCTGGGGTTGGGAGCAGAGCAGTAAGCAGATGATACGGGTTTGGTCCGTCGTGGGCTTCCAGAGCTTCCAACCTCCCAGGGCAGGGCTTGAACTCAGCCTTGGGCTCTGGCAAGGGATGGGCAGCGGCTTCAAGGGTGAGCTCTCCGAGCCTGAGTGTTGGAGGGGGAACAGAGAGACGCCGTGGTCAGGGAGGTAGGAAGGGCGGCAGTCCCTGCATTTCCTGGTGCAGAAGGGCGGGTGATGTGGGCAGTTGCCGGGCCGCAGAGCACGCAGAGTTCAGGGTAACAAAGACATGATGTAGGCAAGGCCCATCATGGCAAAGGTTTGGACTTGGCCCAGAGGACTGTGGGAGCCCTTGATGGGTTTGGAGTGGGGGATTTGGAGTCAGCCTCTGTCTCAGCTGGGAGTGCAGGCTTGGGGGCGCTTCTGCACTTACACGGAAGTGTGTGTGCTCCTTGGGGTGAAGACGAAACACCCAGGATGACCCCAAATGCAGGCCGAGGGGCTGTGAGGGCTGAAGCAGAGCCCAGAGGACAAGCCTGAGGCCATTCGGATCCCACAGCCTGAAGCCAGGTCAGCCCTGGTGCCCGTGGCGGAGGGCCTACCGATTTGTCCACTAGGGGGCCCCACAGTACAACTAACGACGGCCCTTGCGCGGCACCGGGCGCATCTGCGTCCACGTCCAAAACACCGCTGACATGTCACCAAAGGATGTGTAATTTTTAAGTGGAAGACTGAGAGGGGCAGGTCTCTGATCCAGAGCTATTTAGAAACTGAAAGAACGGGGTGGGCAAGGGCAGAGGGAAGGCCCGGCGGTGTGTGTGGGGGGGTTCTTCCCGCCTCCCATTTCCTGCTGGTCAAGCATCTGGGGCAGGAGGGCAGGGCAGGGTACCATGCCTCCAGATGCTCGGTGCTCCGGGCCAGTGCCGGCCGTCGGGGCAGAGGCAGGAAGCTTCCAGGACGTCAGCAGGAGGAGGCACCTGTTGGGAAAGGTCAGGAAAGGAGCTGCAGTCAGTGTGGACCCTTCCCAGGGGCAGGAGCTGAGGACCGAGGCCCCAGACCATTCCTTGCTGCTCACACACTCCCCTGGGGCAGGCCTTGCACTTGAGAGGCAGCAGGGGGAGGGGGCTTCCCAAACTTCCAGCTCAGAGCGGCGGGAGGGTGTGCTGCCCGCTGTGGACCCTTCCAGGACCCAGTCTCAGCCCCTTTCCGGCTAGTCCCTCTGCCATCGGACAAGTTACTTTCCCTCTCTGACGCCGGTTTTCTCTCCTCTGTAAGCTTGGAGAAATAAAAGCACTTGCCTCACAGTCTGCAATGAGGATTAGATGTGGGCGGGGGTCACAGCACAAGTCTTGGCAGGTGCAAGGGCTCAGGTGGGGGCTGCAGTGTCTCCTGGGGTCCGGGCTCTGCCTCCATGAACAGCGCGACCAGAAGGAGCACAGCCTCCGTGGCCAAGGCCAGGACATTGGATGGTCTCGCCTGAACGAGAGATCGTGAGAGGCAATTTGAGGGGTGCCTGGCCTGGAATAGGTCCTCGATATCTAGTTGTGGGATAGATGGATGAAGGAAAGAAAGGAGGGAAGGAGGGAGGGAAAGAGAGGGAGGAAGAAAGGGTAAACTATTCTAGGTCTCAAGGAGTATTTAAAGGTGTGTAAGACTTTATACCAGTTCTTGAGACTCAACTTTCACTTTAGAGAGACAAAATTTTGTATGAGACTTTCTTTTTTTTTTAAGATTTTATTTATTTGACAGAGAGACACAGTGAGAGAGGGAACACAAGCAGGCGGAGTGAGAGAGGTAGAAGCAGGTTTCCCCGCGGAGCAGGGAGCCCGATGCGGGGCTCCATCCCAGGACGCTGGGATCATGACCTGAGCCGAAGGCAGACGCTTAACGACTGAGCCACCCAGGCGCCCCATGTATGAGACTTTCTTAAGAAAGGATACATTTATGGGGCGCCTGGGTGGCTCAGTTGGTTAAGCGACTGCCTTCGGCTCAGGTCATGATCCTGGAGTCCCAGGATCGAGTCCCACATCGGGCTCCCTGCTCGGCAGGGAGTCTGCTTCTCCCTCTGACCCTCCCCCCTCTCATGCTCTCTGTCTCTCATTCTCTCTCTCGCAAATAAATAAAATCTTAAAAAAAAAAAAAAAAAAAAAAAATTAAAAAAAAAAAAAGAAAGGACATTTATGAAAGGGTTTAAGATATGTTACAAAGTTGCATAAATTACAAAGTACAAAATAGGAATGGGGTGACCAGGTGAGGGAAAACAAAGGTGCATTTTCTGCAAGTTCGTAGCCATGTTCCAGGGTGAGGACGGGGCTCACAGCAGCCCCCACTGATTTGCTGAATCACCTGATAAAATGGCAGAGGGTGGTATAAAGACATGGTTTAAACCCAAATGGCAGTGAGTTTCAAACATGTTTACATCCCTCCTGAGCAGTTGGGACATCACTGAGTTCTCAGGAGGGCCTGGCTTGCTTCCTGAGGGAGGGTCTCCTGCCAGCCCGGGGAGAGCCATCTGGGGCTGGTGGGGGGGGGAGGCGCGCTTAGCAGTCCCTCTCCCCCCCACCTGTTGAACCTCAGCGCTGGTTTTCCCAGCACAGCATCTGGGCGAGCCGTCTTCTCTATCCATGAACCAGGAACGAGGCCCAGCTGCCCAGCAGCGCTCTGAGGCCTGGTCCCTCGAGGGCTGGGAGCAGTAGGGTGGACTGGGCAGAGTGGTCCAGTTCTGCTTCGCTCCCTGCTTGCTGTTTGCACCTCACAGTGGGATCCCCACGGCTGCTGCAGGAGCCTCAGATCCTGTCCGGGCCTCAGGACCTGACGCCCGCCGCGCATCAGACGGTGGCTGGAGTGCGTTGACCCTGGCCACCCACAGCCGCTCGTCTCCCGAAGCTGCTGGGTATGCAGCCGCCCCCCCCAGAGCCCTCAGCCCTTGGCCCTCTCCCAGCCCTGACCCCCGGCCTCCCCGCAGATGGCCGCTCCATCGGTGGGGGGCTTATCCAAGTCCTGGGCACCGGGAACCTCATGATTTCTGAAGGGTCTGTCCAGCACTGGGGCATCTATGTCTGTGCTGCCAATCGGCCGGGCACCTGTGTCCAGCACATGGCACAGAGCATCCTGCTGGTGAGTCCTGAGGCCGGGAGGGGAGGGCCCTGGGCTCCCTCTCCCCGCATGGGAACCTGCGTGGGGGAGAGGGAGGGCAGGAGGGGACAATACGCAGGGCCTTACGGTGCCGTCCACCCCTTGGCCCAGCACTGCCCTCCCCTCTGCCTCCCCGCCACCCCCCCACCCCCGGTTTGTCCAGTGGCCACGGTCCTTGTTCAAGCCTCCAGGCAGCACTGACATGTTCACCTGCGTGGCCCGGGGTGTCCCTGATGGGAAGGTGCTGAGTCCTGGGGAAAACACTCGGCTGGCCCACGACAACACGTGCCCCAGGTTCCTGTGTCCCACCCCCGCCCAAAGTGGGTGCCTTAGCCACCCCAGGCATGTGTGCCCACCTACACCAAACACCAAACACACTACCTCCCTCTAAAGTCCCCACAAAGCCCCGGCAAGTGCACCCCCAGGCAGCTCCGCTGTAGGTAAGACCACACAGGGGGCGGGTCCTGCTCCTGGACAGGTCTGCGGTGTCTGAGAGAGAAAGTCCCCTCCTTAGGGCCACCTAACCGGGGCAGGGGGGCTTGGCAGGAAGGAGCCCCCGGCTGCCCTGTCTTTCCCTAGCACATTGACGCTGGCGGGGCTCTCAGAGGAGGACAAGGCCATCTACCAATGCGTGGCCGGGAACAGCGCAGGCTCCCGTCTGGCTGTGACAGGGGACCCAGGGCAACCCCCTGCCCCAAGGGGGCTGCAGGGGATGGCCCTCTCCATCTCTGTCATTCCAGTGTCCTGGGAACCACCTGCCCCCCAACAGGGACATCATTGGCTATGTGCCGAACCTCCGGCCTGTGGGAGGTGGGGTGTGGGTGGGCAGCCAGGAATCCCTGGCCACCCCTGCGCCTGATGGGTGGTACCCCTGGGCAAGTTCCTTCCACTCCTCGCGATCCCCAGACCTGGCTGGGCCCTTGCTGGGCTTCTGGGTCTGTGGCTCCCTGGTGTCTCCTCATGCCCTAGGCCCCTTCTCATCCTAGCTCCAATTTCTGCAGCCCCTTCCCTGCTCTTGGTGGAGACCTGGCTGGCCCAGCCAGGCACCAGGAGGGCCTTCATGCCCCCTTTGTGGAGTGGGGGCTGTTTGTGTTGAGGAAGAGGGGTGCTAAGCTGCCAAGCCGCTCTGCTCCTCAGAGACAGCTGGCCCAGAGCTCCACGAGGCCGTGGGCGAAGGCAGCTTTGAGCATGTCTCCTCCAGCCTGGAGCCCACCACAACCGACTCCACCCACGTGCGGGCCTCCTCAGCGGAGGGTGCCAGCCGGGACTCCGCCTCCAGGGACGCCTCCACCATGGGCCGCGGTGAGTGGCAGCCTCCCCAGCCCCGCAGACCGGCTCATACCATGTCCTCTGCAGCTTCCGCCGCCCTAGGCTTCTCCACCGACGTGCTCAGTGGCACTGGTGTGCAGGCCTCCCAGCGGCTGCCACCCCAGCCGGGGGCCCATCCACGGCCTCAAACTCTTCCCCCAGCTGCTTGTTTCGAGGGACCCCTGCTCCTGCCTCACAGTGTCACCCCTTCCTCTGCACAGACCTGGGTGAGGCCCTGACCCTTCTACGGCCCCCTGGCCCCCTTCTCCGTGTCCTTCGCCAGACACTGAGCTTTGCAGCCCAGAAAGGCCTGCGGCCTTCCCCGCGTCCTGCTCCCTGTATGAGATCCAGCTCCAGGCATTCAGTGGCTACGGGCAGGGTCCCAGCAGCTGTCTCCTTGCGTGAGGTGGGGTCCAGTGAGAGGGTGGCAGGCCGGGGCACAGCAGGCCCCTCCCATAGGACCCACGAAGGTCAGTCTTCAGGGAGGCAGAGGGGCTGGGCTTTGACGGACGGCACTGTGTCCAGTGTCCAAGGCTGGGTGCTCCTCCAGTCGGGATGGGAGCCCCCTGCTGCCTGGGGCTGTGGTGTCCCCGCGGGCCTCGCGGCCCTGCTGCCCACAGCACCTGCAAAGCTGCTAGGAGACCATCCGCATACTGTGGCCGGGGGCTGCAGAGCAGAGAGGCAGAGCAGAGAGGCAGAGCCGGCCGCCCCTCCCAGAGCTGCGGAGCAGGGCCGGCCTGGTGGGCAGAGAGCATGCCCCACCCAGGCAGAGGACAGGGGGCAGAAGCGGGCCAGAGCCAGGCGGCTGCCGCCTGCGCCCTCTGCCCTCGGGGAGTGTGCTAAGCCGGAGGGAGGCCCCAGGCAGGTCCCTATCCGGGCAGCCTGCTCTGCAGACAGGGTCCCAAGGGTGCTCCTCGGCACTGCCTCTGCCTGCCTCCGACCGCGCTGGGGACCGCTGAGGCCAGGCTCCAGGGAGAGAAGACTGCACTCACCCTGCAGGTGAGGGGGGTTCACCGGAGAGGCGTGGGTGGGGCAAGTGGTGTGCTTGAGGCCCGGCACTGAGGCCTGACCGTGGCTGGGACAGCGTCCCTTAGCCTAGGGCCCTCCAAGCAGGCTCCCCCCGCGATGGCACCAACTGGCCCACCAGAGAATACCTCACCTGTCCCGTCACCCTAGAGTCTGGAAAGAACCCCGGGTCCCTCCGCTCCTCTCCACGGAAGTGCAGGCCTGACCACAGAGGGAGAGAAGACCGTGTGGTTTCTTTGTTCCTCTCTCCTCCTCAGGAAATGTCATTCTCCCCAACACACTAAAGAGCCTCAGCTTAAACCAAGCTCAGCTGGGAGTCATCCCTGACACTGTTACACCTGCCTCATAACCCCATCCAGGATATGCTCTTGATCCAAATATGAACCTACCCAAAGATGTATAGTTTTAGGGGTCTCCCCTAGGCGGGGAGCAGGGCAAGGGGCTCACCTCTACCTCATGGCCAGAACCCCTAGTCTGATATCGGTCTCCTTGTGCCCAAGCTGAGCTCTGCCCCAGGGACAGGCAGCCTGCACTTCTCATAGTCTTGAGTGGGCAGGTGGGCAAAGGGAGCTCCCTGCCCCTTTGTCCCAACACCACGAACGTCCTGAACATCTGAGCTGACGGGAGCTGCTTCTCTGAGCAACCGAACAGCCATCTCCCTCTTTCCAGATCCACAGCCCTGGCCCCGCTGTGGGCGGCGGAGCACTCCTCCCCGTTTGATTTCTATTTTTGAGAGGAGACAGCGGCTGGCGCTGGGCCTGTGGTGGCTGTGAATCCTTCGTGGAGAGAGCAGAGAGGCTGTGGAGCACCCCACCCCTCGGTGCCCCTCGAATGCAGGTGTTGAAGAGCACGTCCTCCTCCCCTCCGCTCTCTGCCGGCCTGTGGCACCCAGGGCCCTGCTGTCCCGCCTCACCCAGCCCCTACCACACCCCGAAGCCAAAGCCCCAGAATGGCCCTCCATGGCTATCCTGTACGGTACCGAAGGAGGGAGGATCTTGGAGGAAGGAAAACCCAGGTTTAGAGGAGGACCCTGAACCCTGCCTCCCTCTGTGCCCCTGCAGAATGCAGAATGATGGCAAGACCTCGGCAAGGCTGGTCCTGCCGCAGCGCGTCTGCGCCTTCTGCAGAAGGGACGGGCCGGTTTCGACCAGACGTGTGGCAGGGGACTCAGGGGTTAAGAACAGCCCCAAACTTTCTCCGCATCCCCGCCAATACCTGTCGTTTCCTGACTTGTTAGTTTTAGCCATTCTGACTGGTTTGAGGTGGGATCTCATGGTGCGTTTGATTTGCATTTCCCTGATGCCGAGCCTCACGTGGAGCACTTTTTCATGTGTCTGTCGGCCGTTTGTATGTGTTCTTCGGAGAAATGTCTGTTCATGTCTTCTGCCCAATTCCTTGACTGGATTATTTATTCTTTGGGTGTTGAGTGCGGTGTGAAATTTAAGAAACAAAACAGGATCACAGGGGAAGGGAGGCAAAAATAAAACAAGACGAAATCAGAGAGAGGGAGACAAACCATGAGAGACTCTTAACTGTAGGGAACCAAACGGAGGGCTGCTGGAGGGGAGGGGGTGGGGGGGTAGGGTCCCTGGGTGATGGGCATTAAGGAGGACACGGGATGGGATGCGCACCGGGTGTTGTACGTTAAGTGATGAATCACTGAACTCTAGCTCTAGAACTAATAATACATGTTAATTGGATTTAAATTTAAGTGCATAGTTCAAAGAAAAAAAACCAAACAGCCCCAAACTTCAACATCCTGTCCTCTGGGTGGACCTGACCGAAGTGCTCTGTTGGAAATAAAAAGCCAAATGGAAAAAAATTAGGATCTGGTCAATATTCTGGTTTGGAAGGAGAACTCAGGGGACGCCGTGTGTGGATGAGGGAGCTGCTGCAGGGCAGTGTAGGTGCTCCGAATGCCGCCACCCCGGAAACCAGCACATTACAGAGGGTCCAGTGACCAGGAGAGACAGGAGCAGTATGATGGGAAGGACCAAGGACAGCTGGGGACCCAGCCTCCTTCCCAACAGTGTCAGACCCTCCGTCACCAGGTCAGTGGCTTCTAGAACACCAGCTCCACATGAAGGTGTCAATAACCACTGGCAGGAAAGGGGGCACCCAGAGCTACCCCGTCCCTGTAGGGGGCACAGGCAGAGCTCCTCCCCCAATCACCCCTGGAACGCCCCCGCCAAACTGCCGCCCCCATGCCTGCCAGGACTAAAGCACGAGCCACAGGGAAGTTTAGAAACCATTCCTTTCTTTATTAAACATAGCTTGCAAGTGATAAATATTACAAAGTTTTTCTTTTAATCCTTTCTCCAAAAATTAGCTTATTACTTGAATCTGTTACTGCTGAAATGCTCAGCAGCATCTGAAACAGATGGGAGTGTATTTGCCTTTTTGAAAACCAGTTTCCGTTGGTCTTGGTTTTTTCATTTTAATTTCCAAACACAATGCAGAAAATCAGAATGAGTTAAAAAAAGGAAACTTAGGGCCTGTGCAAAAGGGTCTTGCCCCCCCACCCCCATTCAGAGAGGCCCGTCCCGCCCCAGCCCCGCTCCCCGCCCCAACCCCTCTGCCCCAGCCTTCGCCAGGCCTCGGCCACCTTCCCAGATGCTCTCCAGGCTTCCCCGGCCGGGAGCCTGGAGTGTGGGAGCCTCAGCCAGGCTGTGGGGAGCCCCCACGAGGGCTGGCGTGAGTTCTGAAGGGCACAGGAACTGGGGTGCATCTGAGCTCCGCTACGCTGTCGCCAGGAAGATGGGCAAGTTCTGCACCCTGCAGCCCACAAGGGTGTGCGTGACTAGACCGCCAGCCGGGCACCACCGCTCAAGCACCCCGGGGGCCCTGTGGGTCTGAGGGCAAAGCAGTCACAGGCCTCCTGACGTCCAGACATCACTCTGCCGCCTCTCCCAAAACCAAAGTAATGGCAGGGGCCTGGCAGCCCTCATGGGCCCGGTCGCACACACTGCACCTCAACACGTAGGTGTCCTCCCTGCATCTTCAGCCCCACACCTTCCCCACCTCAAGCTGTTGTTTTGCAGGTGAGGAAGGAAGCATCAGGTCGAATTTTACACGTGGTGGCCAGGTGATCGCCCCTGCCACTTCGCAAGTAAGAAAACGGAGACCCGGAAGAGGAACTCTACCGAAGGTCAAAGCAAGTTCGTGGGAGAGCCCGGGGCCAGACCCCAGGTCTCCGGACGGTGCTGCCACCCCCAACCCGCATGCTGCAGCGCTCCACTCTCCACGGCCCAGACCAGGAGCTCTGGCTTTCACGGGGAACCCCCTCACCCCAATTTACGAAGCCGAAAACCGTGTGCAGATACACGTGGCTCCGTCCGTGAGGCTCTCTTAGGATGACTTGTTAAAATCCTTTCCTTCTATCACCCCGGATGATCTACTCTCAAAGACCCGTGGAACTAGGTTCTTTTTTGGGGGGCGGGGTAGGGGAGATCCCTTGCATAAGAAAGCTTGACACTGAATTTTGTTATATAGGTATATTGTATATATGCTGATGCAATCAGAGGAAAAAAAACAGTGCAAATACAGTTACAATTCATAATAATACTTGGTTTCAATGCCCCCGGGAACTGCCCCATTCCTCGGCTACCTCCCGACCCCCCAGCACTTCCCCACAGTATCCACCTAATGCTGGGGTGTAGGGAGGGGGGCAGGTTAGGGTAGGGAGTGGGCTCTGCCAAGGCAGTGCTGGTGACCCGGAGGACTACTCCAGGGCGGGAGGCAAGGCACAAATTAGGGGTGGGTGGTGGGGGAGGTGGCATCTCTAAGGAGGGATGGGGCTGGAGCAGCCGCCAGTCTCAGTGTGCTGGGCCCGGCCCACTCCCCGCCCCACCCTCCACAGCCCTGCCTCCCTACCCCCGCCCCTTCCCCAGAAACCCTTTTGCACGGATCATACACAAACGGCACATTACAAAATGACGTAACACAGTTTCACAATATCCATGGCGAGGGCTTTTTTTTCTCTTTTTCAGGTTTTTTTTTTTTTTTTTTCTACACAATGTACAATTCCTTTTAAATGGATCAAGAAATAGCTTATATACACGAATGAGTCCTTGTTATAACATCTCGGCAGCAAGTATCATAAGCTAATGAAGGTCTTGTTGGAGGGCAGGGGAGCCTAGGGCCGGGTGGGGTGGGGTGTGGAGAGGAGGGTTAGGGGGAAGGAGTGCTTGGGGAAAGGGACAAAAGTAAAATACCAAGAAGCATCTTTACAAAGCGGCTCTAGAGCTAAGTCCTTTTAAAGGGGAAAGGAAAGGTAACCAAAGCAGGAAAACATTTATCTTTGTGTCTTAAAAAAAAATTGTCTACCATACATACATCCAAAAATGTGGAAAAATACTTATTCCAGGGATGGAGAAGTC